AGTAAGAATATCGATACAAAACAAAGTGAATTGATTTTATTTCTGAACGGGACCGGTATCGGCAGGATTTGGCAGACGGGGATACGATGTCTCCGACACGAGGCAAATATTAAAACAGTGTAAATATTTATTTCATTTTCTTCAACTTAACTTATATACCGGGATGGTGTCCGGCGGGGGATAGTTTTTACTATCATAGTTTAACTTTTATCTATCAGAATCTAGCCCCGAATCCTAGACTCATGTATTTAAAGCGGCCTGTAGCATGTGTATACAGCATATATTTGTATTTTTTGTCGATGGATAAATAAATGTCCGAATATAAGAATTGAATACTGTTTTCTGTACACTACATGGTTGTTTGAGAATTAGCACCTAATTAGGCCTATTAATGAAATACAATGGTACACGAACATTCACTTTTATGTTTTATTTATATTTTGACGTTAACATAGGCCTTTAACACTCAATATTATTTTTAATTAACATAAGCCAATAAACAGCTTCCACACATAAAATAACAGTAGGCCTAACCAATAAAAATATATAAAATACAAAACAAGATTTATGCAAGATTAAAAAAACTATACAGAAGTCTCCGCCCGGCAAGCAGACAAGGCCATACTTTAAACTGGCATCCAGGCAGTCCATCGAACGTCCTATTGTTAGCATCTCAACTGACCCACTTCTGTCAGAGCGGCACTCAAAGCGAATTTCTGTAGACCAAGGAGGAGAGTTCTTTCCTCCATGTATAGATCCACACAGTCACATGATGTTGCGTACTCTGTTGGACTGATCACATCCACACACACACGAGGTACCCAATATTAATTGTACAGTAGTTGCATAGGCCTAGTTGCTGTATATAATATATATTGATGCCTACGTTTAATAATAGAGAAATTAGATGTTCTATTTTCTCTATAGTTTATTGAATGATGTTTGGCGAATACTGGCGTCCATTTGTGTTCCAATGTGATATGTGTGCAGGGAGTTGATAAATGTTTTTTCGTTCGTCGTCAGCTTCTTAGCTGGTAGGCTGCTATTTAACGAAGATAGGTCTTTCCGACAGAGCAAACGGCACTTAGGCCTACATGCATGTGCTGCCATTATCGTCATTACCACTTAATTTAACTATTAGGACTATGCAGCCTTTAAACTTTGAACTTGGTTCATTTCAAAGTAAAACTTGTTCAGTATTTTAAATTGTACAAAAACGGTAGTTCAACCGGGGCCAGGTCTAACGACACAGACGCGTTTGTCGCCCAAAACAATAGAAACAATGGCAAACGCGTTCAACAGCATAAACCGGTTTAGACGCGTCTGGGACATATTCCGACTAGCTTATTAATATTCATGAGGCACGATAATTAGACAGTCGCTTTCCCAGACGCGTTTGTAATACATGGTTTTCCCAGACGCGTTTCTGTCATTGGGGATAATTTGTAGATCGCGCCTTACGTATGTTGTTGATAACCAAGACATCGACCCCATTTTTAGCTTATCGCGCTGTGAGTGTCCCATTATGGGGGATAAAAGAGACATCCAGATTTCACTATATTATGTATATATTCTATTATCCGTAATTGTAGCCATGTCGAAAAGCAAAAAGAAGACAAATAAACCAGTGGTAGAGGAACAAACGTGTATAATACACTTTGCATCTATTACGATAAAGGATACCTTCACGTATGTAAACGAGGAGCGGTACCGACGATTGTGCGAGATACGTGACATAAGAAACGACTTCCCAGATGATTCTCCTTAAAAGTTTAAAGACATCTGTCAAAATATTCCTGAATTTTTTGACAGCGCTATCCATGGATATCATCGGGCTTGCTACACGAAATTTTCAGCTCACATGAAACGACCAATTGACGAGAAAGGTTCGGAAGGTACAAAGCATTCGAGATGAGAAATTAGTGCTTCGAAAAGTCAAATCTTATTCTCTCACCATGAATGCATTTTTAAGTATTCATCAGTTTCTGAATACCGATGTATTCAGAGAAAAAGAGATCGACCGTCAGCAGAGGTATCACATATGAAATGTTAAGTGTATTCAATCATGGAGGAGGCCACACAGTACAAACTGCTGCGGAAGAAAGGCACGACGAAGGTACAAATCTTTGCAGCTTACGTCATAAATGGAATAATAATAAGTATTATACATTACAATATATACATTAGTACAACATACA